AGTGCAATATTCAGAGTCTCTTCTGACGTCCATTTTGGTCTTTTCTTCTTCCTTCTTAGTAACGACTTTGTGTATTCTTCATGAATGATATTCTTTTTATTGTATTATTTTACGTGTACCGTCAAATCAGATCTGACTGGTACAGGAGATTACCCCCTCCCTCTCTAGCGGAGCATCTGGTGGATTTGAACCATGTACCTCTGGGATTGCAGTGCAGCGTCTTGCCACTAGGCCACCAGACCTCCCTATGAATGATATTCTTGATATCTTCCCACAGCTTTATCTATATACACATGGAATTCTTTCTGATAACTCTCTTTTATTGTCACTACCTCTTGGTGAAGAGATTGAGATTGTACACACCTTTAGTTTGCTTAGCTCCACAGTCAACAGTCTTGACACCAGCAGCCAGGAAATTAAAAGGCGCATTGCCATGGGAAAGTCAGGGACCTCTTCAAAGTACTGAAGAGCAGTGGTGTCTCCCTGGAGACTACGGTGCGCCTGATACAGGCCATGGTCTTCGCAATCACTTGTCATGCATCAGAGAGTTGGACAGTGACCAAGGAGGATAGAAGGAGAATTGATGCCTTTGAGCTGTGGTGCTGGAGAAGAGTATTGAGAATACCATGGACTGCTAGGAAAACAAACAGATTTGTCCTGGAAAGGGTTAAAACGGGTGGCTCCTTGGAGGTGAGGGTTCTGAGGCTCCGTCTAACATACTTTGGACATGTTGTGAGGAGAGACCAGTCCTTGGAGAAGGACATCATGCTTGGGAGGGTGGAGGGACAGCGCAGGAGGGGAAGGCCCTCTATGAGGTGGATTGATTCAGTGAGTGGAATAATCGGGATAGGAGTGTCAGAGACAGTGCAATTGGCATAGGACAGAGCAGAGTTTAGGGCTGTTGTACATAGGGTCGCTATGAGTCGCAAGCGACTTGACGGCACATAACAACTACAACAACCTCTTATTTTTATTAAACTGAGTACTGCATTGAATCCGTATAAAATTGCCACTTTTGTATATAGAAAATTATTATCAGCAATATTGTATTTAATCAACCTGTTTTAATTCATGGTATCAAATATATCATTGCTGATGTCCATTGCTGAAATGGATCCTGGCTGAAAGCAGAAAATCCCAGAAGAAAGTCTATTTATGTTTTATTGACTATGCAAAAGCATTTGTTGTGTTGTTGTTGTTATGTGCCGTCGAGTCGTTTGCGACTCATAGTGACCCTATGTACAACAGCCCTAAACCCTGCTCTATCCTGTGCCAATCTCATTGCCTCTGACACACCCATCCCGATTACCCCAGTCACTGAATGAATCCACCTCATAGAGGGTCTTCCCCTCCTGTGCTGTCCCTCCACTCTGCCCAGCATGATGTCCCTCTCCAAAGACCTGTCTCTCCTTGCAACATGTCCAGAGTATGTCAGGCGAAGCCCCAGAATCCTTGCCTCCAAGGAGCAGCCTGGTTTAACCCTCTCTAGGTTGAATCTGTTTGTTTTCTTGGCAGTCCATGGTACATTCAATACTCTTCTCCAGCACCACAGCTTAAAGGCGTCAATTCTCCTTCTATCCTCCCTAGTCACTGTCCAACTCTCTGATGCATAACAAGTGATTGCAAAAACCATGGCCTGTATCAGATGCACCCTAGTCTCCAGAGAGACACCGTTGCTCTTGAGTACTTTAGAGAGGACCCTAACCGCAGTTGTGGCTAACATTGAAATGAATGGGAATTCTGAAACATCTAATTACGCTTATGCAAAATCTGTGTCTACACCAAGATGCTATTGTCCAAAGGGAAAAAGCGAACACTGCATGGTTTAAAATAATAAAAGGTGTAAAGTCAGGCAGAATTTTATCCTTCCTTCATACATTTTCAATCTGTGTGCTGAGCAAATCATTCGAGAAAGTGGACTTTATGAAAAGAATGTGGCATCAAGATTGGAGCAGTATTTGTCAACAACCTGACATGGTCTTGCTTGCTGAAAGGGAGGAGAACTTAAGGTGCCTGCTGCAGAAGATCAGGGACCACAGCCTTCAGTATGGATTACATCTCAGCATCAAGAACACAAAAATCTTCACCACTGTGCCAATAGATAGCATCATGATAGATGGAGAAAAGATTGAAATTGTAAATTATTTAATCTTGCTTTAACTCACAGTCAACACCCTTGGTACCTGTAGTCAGGAGATGTATAGCATTAAGAAGTCTGTTTCCAGAGGAGTCTCCAGAGACCCAAAGAGCAATGATGTCAGCTTAAAGACTATGGTGTGCCAGATTCAAGACTTGGTTTTCCCAGTCCTCTCTTATGTGTCCAAAAACTGGACAGTGGGTAAGGGTGACAGAAGAATCAATACCTTTGAGTGTAGTGTTGGAAAAGAGTACTGAATATCCAGTGCACTGTCAAAAGAAGAAACAAAAGACATGTCTTGGAAAAAGTGCAGCCAGAATGTTTCTTAGAGGCATGGATGGTGAAGCTGTATCTCTCATACTTCGGGCATGTTGTTAGGAGAGCTATTCCATGGAAAAGGACATCATGCATGGAAAAGGCAGTGAAAGAGAGGAAGATCCTCCGTGAGATGGACTGATACAGTGACAAAGGCAGTAGGCTCGAATGTTGGAGATGATAAGGATGGCACAGGATAGGATGGAGTTCAGATCTCTTGTTCTCAGAGGGTTGTTAGGAGTTGTATGCTACTTGACAGCACTTCACAACAACAGTGTTAAATATGTTGGCACACATTTTTTGTTTGTTTTTTTATGACTTAAGTGAAAGTTTATAGAGCAAATTAATTTTCCATTCAACATTGTATATACATTTTACTTTGTGACCTTAGTTGCAGCTCCCTCAATGTGATGACACACTCTGGCTTCCTCCCTGGATTTCCCATCTCCCATATTCACTTGGCTTGTTTTCTTGTTCCCACCTGCCTCCTGAGCTTTGTTTTGGGGCCAGTGCTGACCTTTTGGTTATTGCCTTTGTGAACTGTGTTAAGCCAATTTACTTAGGTGATCTCTGAGACTCATGTTTGGTTATCGCTAAGAATTTTTTATATCTTTACCCTGTCTTTTGTACATATGCTGTTGTTTTTGTTGTTGATAGCCTTCAAGTTGAGCATGACTCATTGCGACCCTATGTTCAAAAGGCCTGAAGCCCCTCTACAACTATTGATATTTATCAAAGTTCATAGAGTTTCCTGAGGCATGTTATTTAGGAAGTGGATGCCACTCCTGCTACCATATACTTGATGATATTTATAGCACATACAAATATGTATGTAGAAATTATATATATATGTATATTATTTTTAAAATAATGTATATTTTTAAATATGCCTTTAATCTAGCATTCTGCTCATTTTCAGAATCATACCGTTCAGCCGGCCTGTGAGATATGAAGATGTGGAGCACAAGGTGGCAGCAGTATTTGGGCAGCCTCTTGAGCTACATTATATGAACAATGAGGTAAGGAAGTTCATGGAAGGTGAAGATACAACCAGTCCAAGAGGGGATACATTTCTCTGTGTTTAACTGAGGATTTTTAAAGTTTATTCCTCTAATATCATCTGTAGGTTTTTCATTTTCTGGGGCCTGTTTTTGTAATTCTGACAGCTGTAAGAGTGCCATGAACCATGAACCATGAACCATTTCACTACATGAACCATTTCTACTGATGGATTACACAGCTATTTCCAGTTCCCTTCTTGTTGTGTACTATAGAGTCAGAATCTACCCATCGCTGACCCTCTGGGGGTTTTCAGAGGCACTTAATAGCACAAGAGGAGATTGCCCATTCTTCTCTTATAGAGCAGCTGGTGGCCTCAAACCGCATACCTTTGGGATTACAGCACAGCTTCTTGCCCTAGGCCACCAGAGCTCCTTTTACATTTCCCATACTCACTGAATGAAGGCAGTGTTACTACCATGTGGTAGTACTGTGCCAAGGCCAGGACTTATATTCTTTATATTTTGTAGAAGCATCTTTTTCTTTTCAGCACAGCCTTACTAAGAAGCAGAGGCTTTATCAGGGTCTGGAGGAGTTGTGGAAAACTATGGGATCCTTCTGATAGTCGAAGATTTTGGATTTTGTTTTCAGAGTTTAATTTTCGTTTGTAGCATATTTATCTTGAAAGTTGGCACCTATTCCAATGATTTTTTTAAACCCTCCTTTTTCCAAAACAAACTAGGTCTCTGTTTACTCTTTGAATACCATCCAAGATGGAATTCTTTTGAAAATCAGATATTCAGGTGCTTTTCCAGCTCTAAGACAGACACTTGAGGTTCCAGCCTGCTTAGCCTGATGCTTTACATTTACCTGAAAGGCAGCATTTTTATTCCTAGTAAAAAGCGTGTTTCTTCATGGAATTGAGTTGGGGAGCAAAACAAAAAATATGAGCCATAGTGTGATCTTACAGAGTCAGATCCTTAGTATAGTTTTGTTTTGTTTTATTTTATTGGTTGAAGGGCTTTAAAAATTTCCTCTCTAGTTTGAGTCTAAAACTTATTAGCCAGACTTGGAAACTTGTTGACTAAACACTCTGTGATCTGTGATTCCCTAACTACAGAATGTGCAACTCAGCATGTGAAATTGGATATACTGACGGATAAATAACTCACTAAAATAAAATCACCTAATCTTAGGTAGTATTTTTTTTTAGTAACTTGAGAAATAGAGCAAATTTGGAGACTTTGGTCACTAACCCCATAGTTATTAAATAATGAAGACAAAATAACGTGTATGGATAGTACCTCATTCAGTTAAAGTTGTGTGGGTCACCATGAGTCAGAAATGGCACAACAGCACCTAACAACAGTAACAGACTAACACCAATATCCTAAATATAGCACATAAAACGACCTAAAATATAAATGTAAAATTCACAGAGCTTTTAAAAAATTGTACATAGTACAGCTCAGACTAAAGTGACTACAGGAGAAAGTGACACAAACATCGGCTAGCTAATCAGTATTAAATAAGCTGTGCATTCTTTAGTTAGTGCTTACTTTTCTAGAGAGTCTAGTATTCTTTTCTCTTTGAGGATGTATTTCCATTAAAAATTCTAATTCTAAAGCTCCTAGAGCAAAATAGAGGAATAATGCTTTAGGGCATAGGTTTCAAACATAGATTCTTACATATGGTACCAAAACTAAGGACAAGAGAAGACAAAATAGATTGCTCAAAGGATTTATGAGCAAATTAGACAACTGAACTGATTGGGAGAAAATACTTGGAAGCCATATAACTAATGAAAATATTAAAAAACTTTGACCACTCTCAAAAAAAGCCCACTTTAAAAATCGGCAAAGGACTTGAATAGCCCTTTTACCAAAGATGATATTCAAATTAACAGTAAGCACATGGAAAACTGTTTGACCGTTGGACATGTACTCTCTCTCTCTCATTGCTATCAAGTTGGGTCCAACTCATAACTGACCTTACAGCAGGTTTCCAAGACTTTGTACAAGAGGAGATAGCCATCTTTCTCCCATGAAGTATCTGGTGGATTTGAACCACCAGAGAAGCACAGCCTCTGGGTTGGCAGTGCAACGGCACAAGAGCTTCCTGTTAGTCATTATTGTTGCTGCTGTTGTTTCCCATTGAGTCGGAACTGGCTTATAACTGATCACACGGGAGGAGATTGCCCATCATTCTCCCATGGAACAGCTCATGGATTCAAACCATGAGTATTAGAATTGGCAGTGCAGTTCTTAACCCCTAGGCCAGTAAGCTCCTTTGTTAGTTGGCCCTGTTGTGTACATATGGGTCAGAACCAACCCATAGATGACCATCCAGCGGGTTTTCATTATGTATTTTGGGGTACAAAAGTCAGTCCATTTTTCTTTTTTCAGTTTTTTTTTCCTCCTTGGAGACAGTGATAGTGAAGCTTTATATCATATACTTTAGGCATGTTGTTAGGAAGGGCGAGTCCTTGGAAAAAGACAGCTTGCTTGAAAAGGTGGCGGGTCGGATAAAGAGAAGAAGAGCCCTAACAAGATGGATTGACACAGTGACCGTAACAGTGGGCTCAAGCATATGAGAGATTGGTTCAGATGCGTTGTTCATAGGGTCACTGTGAATCATAGGTGACTCATTGGCACAGAATAACAGCAGGGGGTATTCTAAAATATTGCTATAAGTTAGAAATAACTCAGTGGTAGTAAGTTTGGTTTTGACATTAGACTCTACAGGAGTAGATTATCAGAGCAGATACTCAGTTCTTTTCTCCCATAGCATAGAAAATTAATAATAAAGTGTTTCGCTTAGTAGCCAAGTGTAGGGCTCCTTGACTTTGATCTATTTTCATTCTTTTTAATTGAGATTTTAATGAAAGTTTATAGAGAACTTAGATTTCCATTCATTCATTATTGAATATTTTCCTTCCTGTCCTCCCACCCCCCAGTCCGCTTTTTTCTTCAGGAAAAAAATTCTTTCATTGTTATACAGACACCCACCCCAGTCCACTTTACTATGCGGCTCTTCTTCTAAACTCTTGTCATGCCAATAATACCTAATCATAAATTCCTTTTATACAGTTCTCTCCCTCTTCTGTTTCAATGCCATGTACATTATTTATCTCCTCTTTTCTGAGTTTCTCACTAACCTCTGTGTCAGTCCTGTTTTATAACAGTGGCATTATGCAGTATTTGTCTTTTTTTAAATTTTTATTTTATTATTTTTGTGTGAGTGTACCATCGAATCAGATCTGACTGGTACAGGAGGAGATTGTCCCTCCTTCCCCGGCAGAGCATCTGGTGGATTCGAACCATGTGCCTCTGGAATTGTAGTTGCAACTCCTTACCACTAGGCCACCAGAGCTCCCCTAAAGAATTCAAACTTGTTTTTGTTTAAATTTTATTTTTATTTTATTATTTTGTGTGTGTGTACCGTCAAATCAGATCTGACTGGTACAGGAGGAGATTGCTCCTCCTCCAGCAGAGCATATGGTGGATTCGAACTGCATACCTCTGGGATTACAGTGCAGCTTCTTGCCACTAGGCCACCAGACCTCCCTTCAGCATAATGTCCTCCATGGTCACCCATTTTGTATAGTATTTCATGAATTCTTTGTTTTTCAGTGCCGCATAATATTCCATTGTGTGAATATAACACAACTTCTCTATCCATTTATTTGTTTATGGGCACTTGGATTGTTTCCAACTCTTTGTTATTGTGAAAAGAGCAGCAAAAAACATGAGGGTGCATATATCAGCATGGGAGGCAGTTCTGGTTTTTTATTTTTTTAGTTCTGGTTTCTTTTTTTTTTAATTTTATTATTTTTATGTGAGTGTACCGTCAAATCAGATCTGACTGGTACAGGAGGAGACTGCTCCTCCTTCCCCGGCAGAGCATCTGATGGATTCGAAGCGTGCGCCTCTCGGATTGTAGTTGCAGCTCCTTACCACTAGGCCACCAGAGCTCCCCTTAGTTCTGGTTTCTTAAGGGCATGGTATGTTTTCAAGATTCATCCATATTGTACTTCATTCTTTTTTTCTGGCTGAATACATACCATTTTATTTTTTTACATTTTGTTTATCCATTCATCAACTAATGGATATTTATTTCCTTCTTTGGATATTATTTTGGTTACTAGGAGAGCTCTGGTGGTCTAGTGACAAGGAGCTGTGCTGTAATCCTGAAGGCACGGTTCGAGGCCACCAGCTGCTCTGCTAGAGAATGATGGGCATTCTGCTACTGTGTGATTAACTGTCTCTGAAAAACTGCTGGAGGGTCAGCTATGGGTTGGGTTCTGACTCTACAATATACAACAACAACAACATTGAACATTTATGTTTTAAGTTTTTGTATGAACATATATTTTCTTGAATATATATCTAGGATTAAAATAACTAGGTCATAGGATAACTCTAAGTTTAACTTTTTTTTTTTTCGTTTATAATTTTTTGTGTGTGTACTGTCAAATCGGATCTAACTGGTACAGGAGGAGGTTTCCCCTCCTTCTCCAGCAGAGCATCTGGTGGATTTGAACCGTATACCTCTGGAATTGCAGTGCAGCTTCTTGCCACCAGATCACCAGAGCTCCAAGTTTAACTTTTTGAGTAACTGCCAAACATTTTCATAGCAGCTGCATCATTTTACGTTCCCAGCAGCACTGAGGTTTACAATTACTGTTTATCCTAACTTTTGTCATCTTTTATTTGAATTTTGTTTTTATTTTTAAATTATAGACATCATAGTGATGTGAAGTTATGTTTCATTGTGATTCTGCATATATCTCCTTTAAAGAAATATCTGTTCAAATCTTTGGTCTAAAGAAAAAAAAATCTTTGGTCTATTTCTAAGTCTTTTTCTTTTTGAGTTGCAGATACTATTAAAAAACCCTCACTCCTTGCTGTTGAGTTTGACTCTGACTCGTAGCTGACCCTCCACTGGGTTTTTGAGGCTCTAAATTGCATGGGAGGAGACTGTCCATCTTTCCCTTGGGGAGCTGATGGTGTGGTCACACGACCAGAGAAGCTTGTCCTTTAGCTAACTGCACAGCTCCCTACAGACTTCACCACCAGAGCTCCCTAGGTGCTATTGTTAGGTGCTGGCTCATTAATGCCAACTTGTCGAGACCCTGTGTGCAACAGAATGAAACACTCCCCAGTTCCTGTGCTATACTCACAGTTGCTCTTGTAGTAAAGTATAATTATAATTCTAAACCAGCCCACACTGCTGTTTTTACTGTACCAGTCCATTTTGTTAAAGGCCTTTGCCCTTCCCTGGGGACTAGCCTTTCATGGTAACATGCCCAAAGTATATGAGACAAAGTAGTGCCATCCTTGATATGTATATGATTTACAAAATTGGCTCCCTTTCTGTGAGTTGTCTTGAGATTTGTTTTAAACATTGTTCTATTTGCTTTTCCCAAGTCTGACTTAGAATTCCTATCAACTTACAAAGTAGGAACTGAAGAAATTAGTTGTATTTCTGCTTGATTTTGTATTTTCCACAAACCTAGATACTAGGCAAAAATATTGTTACTTCTTTTAATACTAACCTCATCTTCTTTTGAGTGAGACTTATCTATACACTACAGACCTTTTTTAATACTTTAATGGAAGGAATGCAAAGGAGGTAGTTTTGGAGCTTCTAGTCCCTTATTTTTGTCTGTAAACATCACGATGTTAAACTCTGCTGTGATGTCTGAATTTTCAATCTTAGAATAGCATTCCCTGCCTACAACCACCCCTCCTGTATCTTTTCTGTTGGCTTTGTTAATGTGAACACAATGGGAGATAGAGTGGAATGTGAGCCTGGCACTTCATTTGTGTAGACACATGCAAGTTTAACTGTCTGGGATTTGATGTTTTGGAGTAAAAGATATTTTATTTATTTTTTTAAAAGTTATTTTTAGAGAGGAAGTTCTTCTTAGAAAATATTGCAGAACAAAGCACTGTTAGGTGCCACAGTATGGATGAACTTGAGGACATTAAACTCAAGGAAAGAAACTGGACAGAGAAGAACATATATTGCATGTTTCCACTTACATGAAATGTCCAGGAAAGGTTAATTCACAGAGACTCAGAGTAAATTGGTGGTTGCCTGGGGCCAGGAGGGGAGTGACGGTAAATGGGCACAAAGGGTCTTTTTGGAGTGATGAGAATGTTCTAAAATTGAATTGTGGTGATTGTTACATAACTGGAAACTTACTAAAAATCATTAAACACTTTTTAAAAGGCAGAAGGGGTGGCTATCTCTATGGTTTCAACTAGATTTTTTAAGACTTCATTCAAGAGTTTTTCTCCCCCTTCACACTTGTTTTAGTTTTTTTTAAAATTTATTTTGTTTATTTTTACAAATTGAAGCACATGATAGTGGTTTTATGATTTTTTGTTTGTTTTCTTTTGTATCCTAGCTCTCCATCCTGCTGAAAAACCAAGATGATCTTGATAAGGCAATTGATATTTTGGACAGAAGCTTAAGCATGAAAAGCCTTAGGATATTGCTGCTGTCCCAGGACAGGAACCATGTAAGTCATCTCTGTGGTGGCCTGGCGGCTGCAGACAAAGCTTACTTTCCTTCTGGAGCTTCTTTGCAGCTTACGGTGTCATGGCCCAGCCCCTGCCAAAGCAAGAACTTAAGTACATCCAGCCCGTGTCGGTGACCAGTGAGCCTTCTGCATTTGACGTCCCTAGAAGCCAGTGAAGATTGTCAGTGCTGATGTTGCAACTAAAGGTTATTTGGCTTGTGGTATGGGAGGAAGGAAAGTATGATAAAAGGAGAAAATAATTTTGTTTTATAATTAGTTCTTTCAGTTAAATTTTGACCCCAGCAAAAGAGATTTGATCCACTTGGGGATGCTGATTAATAGAGACTTTCATGCTTTGCAAACTCAGTTCCCACATCTCAGCAGTCTTGCCTTTCTCCCAGGATACATGTAGGAAGCAAACTTTTTCTTCTTTCAGTGAGGAAAAAAAAATCCTCGGACCAAAAGGCATCTTGTAATTTACCAGCTTCTGTCTAACCAAGTGGCAGGCAATTTCTACACACCCTCAGAAGTGAGGAATTATCTTTTATGTAACTTCCTCTCTTGAGGGGAGATGGAGTTGGGGGTGGGAGAATACTTTCAGTCTGGGTCTGTTTCCTAATCACTGATTCCTCTATCTGTTTTCTTGTACTTTTTTCTTATGTTTTTATCTCTCCCAGTTTACCCCTGGCTGAGTCTTTGTCCTAAGCCTCAATATTATTTTCACCTGAAAACTCCTGGAGTTTGATAATCACAGAACCTTCTCTTTGTCTAAATAAGATTTTGTTTATAATTCCTGAACTCCAATTTCTACTTTAAAAGCCTTGATTTCTACTCTTTTTTGTTGTTGTTGTTGTTAAAAAAAAAAAGATACTTCAGCATGTTCAGTATTTCTTGCTGCTCTAGGCCTTGGACTATCAACTCTTAAAGACTAATCTAAAAATACATTTAATTTTATCTTTGTGTTCTTGACCTTAAGACTTTTTAGTCCCAGATCTATCCCATTATCATAAACTAACTTAAGGCTAACTTTTTGGGTTTTTTAAAATCACTTGACAAATTTAATTCTGTCTGACAAGACTAAGCTTGTGATATTCTCGTCCAGATGTTGCTCATTTCCCAGGTTTTCCATCAGTGAACTTGGCATTTTGTTGACTACTATTTTTTTTTCTATAATTATATTTTATTAATTTTCATAAACATTTACAGAGATTTTGGGCTTCCACTCATTCATTGTTACACTATTCTCTTTACCCTCCTCCCAGTTTGTTCTTGTCCAAATGCCACAGTGCTTGTCAAAGCCAGTTCTGGTTAATCTTCTTTGTCAGTGTATCCTTTGCCATTCCCTATCACTCCTCCCTGAGAGAGACTTCACCCTGAGTCATAAGGAAAAGGGGATGGCGTATTCTCTTAGCTACTTCCTGCTGAAAAGGGACGCTGTGGGTTTCAGGGTGAAGATCTTCTCTCACTACTCATTAATGCCAACTTGTCGAGACCCTGTGTGCAACAGAATGAAACACTCCCCAGTTCCTGTGCTATACTCACAGTTGCTCTTGTAGTAAAGTATAATTATAATTCTAAACCAGCCCACACTGCTGTTTTTACTGTACCAGTCCATTTTGTTAAAGGCCTTTGCCCTTCCCTGGGGACTAGCCTTTCATGGTAACATGCCCAAAGTATGTGAAATAACATTTCACCCTCCTTGCCTCTAAGGGGCACCCTGGTTAGTTATATATCTCTTTTAAACAGTTTTCTCCCTCCTCTGTTTCAGTGCAGTATACATTATTGAACCCATCTTACTCAGTCTCTCCCCAACCCCAAGGACAGTCCCATTCTACAACAGTGGCATCATGTAATATTTGTCCTTTTGTGACTGGGATATTTCACTCAGCATAATGTTCTCCAGAGTCAACCATTTTGAATAATATTGCATGAGTTCCTTGTTTTTTAATGCAGCATAGTATTCCATTGTGCGAATATACCACAGCTTCTCTAGCCATTCGTTTGTTGATGGGCACTTAGGTTGTTTCCAACTCCTTGCTATTGTGAACAAAGCTGCAATAAACATGGGTGTGCATATATCTGCTTGGATGTCAGCTATGGTCTCTTCAGGGTATATTCCCAGTAGTGGAATTGCTGGGTCAATTGGTATCTCTATTTGCAACTTTTTGAGAAAGCGCCATACTGCTTTCCACAGGGGTTGCACCATTTTACACTCCCACCAACAGTGAATCAGGGTTCCAGTTTCTCCACAACCTCGCCAGCATTTGTTGCTTGCTGTTCTGTTAAATTTTGCTATTTTGACTGGGGTGAAATGATATCTCATAGTTGTTTTAATTTGCATCTCTCTTAGGGATAGGGATTTTGAGCATTTCTTCATGTGTTTGTTTTGTTGACTACTATTTAAACTCATATTATCAAATGTAATCTAAAATTCTTTTCAGTCTTTTAAAAATAATGGGACAGATACAGAAAAATAGAACAAAACTGGGCAGAATAAGTATATATTCTCTTTCATCTGTCCCACATTTAGAGATAATAACACTTCACATCTATAAAAGTACTTTCATATCTCATGCATCTATTACAGCAACTCTCAGGGGCCCAGGGAAGGCATTTGTTATTTCGAGTCTACACCTGGGGCACCTGGACATAGACTGGTGTGCACCAGTGAGATAGGAATTGCGACAGAGCTGGTTTGGAATCAGCTCCTCTGACCTGTGGTCCAGCACCCATTACTTACCATCCAGGAAAGAGATCTTAGAATGTTTGTTGGGAAGTCCCACCCAAGTTCCTCTACAGTTGGATGTCGTTAGAAGCAGAGCACAAAGTATAATGTCCATGAGAAAAGCCCCTCGGCTGATGTGTTGTACTGTTCTCTATAGCTCAGAAAATAACTGACTTAGGAAAGGTGCAGGAGAAGAAGAAAAACTTGCAAGTGGTTTGAGCTACTTTTAAGTGTGAATAAACTAAAAGCTTAGAACTCTTTAATCAGGGAAGCTGCCTAACAAACATAACAATCAAAATCTGAAAACATTGAAGAATATGGATAACACAGATTTTTTTTTAATCAAATCTTAATTTAGATAAACTTTCTTGACTGCTAGGCAGTAGTTTTGGAACATGAAGGAAATAATTAGTATATGAACATGAAAACCATGACATCAGATTTCTTCTAAGGAGTTCTGATCAAAAGCTGTCCTCTAATCCAAAAGGCATGTGGTTCAAATCCAGCTGCTCCATGAGAGAAATATAGGCAGTCTCTTCCTGTGTGATTTACTGACTCTGAAAACCTGCTGGAGGGTCAGCTGTGAGTCAGTTCTATTCAATGAATAACATGAAAAACAAGATCTCTTCTAAAGATTTATAGTGTCAATCCCCTCCCCCTCCCCCAAAGCCTTAATAAAGGTCTTTGGCAGCAGATTTGCCATTGCAGTATGGCATTTGATTTCTTTATGACTGCTTCCAGGAGTGTTGATTATTGACGCAAACCAAAAATTAAATCCAAAAAAAAAAAAAAATTAAATCCTTGACCCTCCCCCCCAAAAAAGAATTTAGCATATCCATAGATGGTTCTTTGTTTTCCCCCCCATAGATGTTAAACGATAAATTTCATTAAATAACCTGGACACTCAGAGGACTATCATGATCTTCATAGCCTTCCTTGCAGATATCTCTTGGCACCCCCTTAAAGCAAGAACTGTACTAGGTGCTGTTGGTCAGATTGCTGACTTTAACTTCCATAATTAGTATAGAACTAATTGTTGTTGCTGCTGTTTGGTGCTATTGAATTAACTACTTCTCATGGCAACCCTGTGAACAACAGATGAGAACTTTGCCTTGACCTGTGCTATCCTCCAGTCACTGCCATGCTCAGGCCCATGAATGCCTTACTTGCCAGTCCATCTTGTAGGGTCATCATCTTTTTGTGTTGACCCTCTACTTTTCTCAGAATGATGTCTTTGTATGGAATGTTGCCTCCTTGACAACATGCCCAAAGTATGTGAAATAACATTTCACCCTCCTTGCCTCTAAGGGGCACCCTGGTTGTACTTCCTCCAAGACAGATTTGCTGTTCTTTGGCAGTTTAGTGATTCATTCCTCTTCTCCAGCACCACACTTTAGAGGCATGAAGTCTTCAGTCTTCTTTATCCATTGTGCACTTGCACAAGTGTGTGAAACAGTTGACAATTGGTTGGGTCAGATGCACTTCAGTCTTTAGAAGTAAAACCACCCCCATTTTCTCCTTTGAATAGTTGAAACTGCTGGTTCTTTTTGACTCATATTACCACAGTTTTACTGAGTGCATTTTCTGCCTTCTAGTTTCCAGTCATTGCATATCTTTGTGCATGAGTTTCCTATTATTTTTTCTTATCATTTATGTCAGCTACATTATACTGTGTCCACATAGTGCTTCAGTGAAATTTGCATAAAATGCTCAAGTCCTAGGGGTTTTTAAATTGCCTTGAAAGTGTTCCACTAGCTATTTACTTCCTTCCTCTTTGCTCTTCTTTCACTCTGCCATCAAATCAAACCCACCACTGTCAAGTCAATTCCAACTCATAGCAACCAACCTTATAGGACAGAGTAGAACTGCACCACAGGATTCCCAAGGCTGTGGATCTTTCCAGAGCTGATTGGTCTCCCGAAGAGTGGCTTGTGGGTTCAAACCACAGGCATTTCAGTTAGTAAGCATTTAACCACCTTGCCACGGAGTTCTTCATGCTGCTTCTGCCTCTATTTCTTTTTTTCCCTGGCCTATACAATTTATGAGATTGGCACAGGACCGAGCAGAATTTAGGGCTGTTGTACATAGCGTTGCTATGAGTTGCAAGGGACTTGACGGCACATAACAACAACAACAACTTGCAATTTATTCGGGGGATGGGGGCAAGAGAGGCCAGAATTCTGTAGCCAGTCCTCCCACCACCCTCAGCTCCTGCTGTACAAAAGAGTGTTTTACAGCCATCCCATCCTCCTTGTACAGCAACCCAGCCTCCCTACTGTACAAGCTATCAACTCCCGCCATTTGGTCCTTGTTTCAGCCTGGTTTCGAGCAGGCCTGATCCTGAGGCCAGCAGACTGTGGCAGGGCCTGCGCCCTGAGCTGGGTCTGGTGCTGGCACCAATGGTCCTTCTGGACCTGCCCTTTCCTGGTGGAACTCTTCTATTTTTCTTAGTGTCACCCTCCTCCTCCCGCTCTTTCTCAATTCTGAGTCTTACTCAGGTTTCCCTGAATTCCTGCAATAACCTCCTTTTTGTTTACTATTCCTTTCCTTTAAATCAGAGATTTCAAAGATGGCTGAATATTGCAGTCACTTCAGGAGATTTAAATAATACCCATAGCAGAGACTATTTTAGTGCTTTGTGGTATCAGAAGACCTATAGACAGTTCTGATGGGCCACCAGTGTTGAGAACCATTACCTTAAAATAAAGCATGAACCTCACCTTCTCAGACCTTGCTGGTGATGCACCAGCAGGATCAGCATCACCTAGAAGCTTATTCAAAATGTAGACTCTCAGAAGGACCTCTGGTGTCATAGTGCATTACGTGTTGAACTGTTAACCAAAAGGCCGCTGGTTCAAAGCCAGTGGTTGCTTAATGGGGGGCGGGGGGGGGGGAGAATGAGCCTTTTCCTCCCATAGAGTTTTACTGTGTCAGGAACTTGCTGGAGAGTCACTCTGAGTTGGAGTGGACTCCGTAGTGATGGGTTGGGTTGTGTTTGGTGCTCTCACCCTAGACCTCCTGAATTGGCCTGCATGTAACAAGATGCCAGGTGATTCCTATTCACATTTAAGTTTGAGGGAGGCGAAGAGGATGAAGCTTTGTCTTTCATACTTTGGACTTGTAGCTAGGTAAGGCTATTCCTTGGAAGGGGGCAGCGTGCTTGGAAAGATGGAGGGTCACTGAAGGAGATGACGACCCCTAACACGATGAATTGACACTGTGACTTTAGCAGTGGGCCCGAGTGTGTCAGAGGTGATGAGAATGGCACAAGATAAGACAGGGCTCAGGTTAGCTGCTCATAGGGTCACTATGAGCCATACATGACTTCACGGCACCTAACAACAACAGCAACAACCCTGAAGCCTTCATCGATTCCCTTCAGCTGCTTTCCAGCTGGTTGCCATGACTTCAGCCTTTCCTTTGCCATGACTTCAGCCTTTCCTTTTACAAATCTATTTTTGTCTTGGCTGTTAAACCTTCTTTCCTATCTCATATTGCAGAATTTAAAATTGAGACTTTATAGTTATATTCTTTGGTGCATTTCAGGTTCACATTTTCAAGATTTGTTGGATTGCTGCTATGTTTACAGGGTAATGATGCTCACTCTGCAGCTCTTCTCTGACTGGAGAGCTGTGGCCTTCGTTTGCCCTCCACTGACCTGCTTCCCCAGCGTGTGGCTTTGGCTGTTTTTTCCTTTCTGACTCTCAGCGGAGAGCTATTGCACATCTGAGGCTTCAGCAAGAACATTTACTTCCCCTTGGTTCCAACTTCCCGTTAGAGCAAGACAGTTTGTCAGGACAGCCCTGCATGTGATAAAGTCTGGCTTGAGAGGCTTAAAGGAGGCAGCTTGGCAGCTCAGTGCACCCCTGAGAGTGGGAAGCTTTTTTCCTGAAGAACAGGATATGGAGTTTGTTTAGGTCAGACTTTTTTCTTCTCCCCACAAGACATTATTTTTTAAAAAAATAAGAGCAGAGGTAGAGACACAAGTAGAAACTTTCATCCGAATTGTTTATAAATCCTGAACTCCAGTTCCACTCTGTCATGCTATGCTTATTTGTAATCCTATCCCCACACCAGTTGCTCATTTGAAGGCTCATATTTTAAGCCTGTTCCTTCAGGGGTCCCCGTCATCTCTCTAGGGTTCACCTGCAGCTTTGACTGGATGAATATAGAAGTGAGGGATGGGGGGCGATTGCTGACCATGCTCTGAAATCCCTTTTCTCTGGGAGGGTGAAGGTAATGTCCTCCTTGGTTGAACTTGATCTTGAGATGATTCTTATGTCAACTTTTGTAAGGTAAAGCAAGTGAGATGATTGTATCTCAGTTTTCAGGGAGTGATTATGATTAGGAAAGTAGTAGCATAGCAACTATTTTTTAAAATTCATATTTATCAAAGTTTCTTTTAGGTTGCTGTCATCCTCCATTCTGACTTCCCCCCCCCAGAGCAGGTGATCTCTCTGCTGAAATAATTTCCTGCTATTCTTCCCAGGCTCTCTGGAGACTTTTATGTGAAGATACTTGCAGATCTCTTTCTGTTGGGCAGATTATCACAGGAGTGCCTGTTACTCCTCCATATCTGGGTCACCACCTATTAAATTGGGCCATGAGGTCTCAGGGCTCACATACCGCTGAAACTGCAAAACTACGTCAAGCAAATAGTGATTATACCAAGACAGATTGGAGAGTGAGGTTTGTGGGAAAGTAGGAATGCTTGTCTATTAAATAACATACCGGTGGCCGAGAGCACAGGGAGTCCTCAGGAAGCAGAAGGGAGGGACCTTTACAGGCTTGCCTGCTTAAGACCTGTCTCAGTCTTTTTCTTCTTACCTTGCAGACCAGTTCCTCACCCCACTCTGGAGTTTCCAGGCAGGTCCGGATCAAGGCTTCACAGTCAGCGGGGGATGTAAATACTGTCTACCAGCCCCCTGAGCCCAGAAGCAGGCACCTCTCTGTCGGTGAGTATTTATATTGTTTCTGTCATCTAATTTGTCTGCCTGTGTTTTAAAAACTCAGCCAATATTTATTGGTTGAAAATAGTTATCAAACGTTCACTAACTATGACTCCACGCAGATTTATCTTCTGTGCCTTTATTTGGGGAGGATGGGAAAGAAATGACGAGGGCAGTGTCCTGACCTTCAAGGAGCTTGTAACATCATGATGGAATAGTGTGATAAAATTCCATTTAAAGGCCTCAGAGCTCATCAAACATCTGCTTGAATACCTCTGTTGACAGTGACAAGTTGCTTCATTCTTTTTCTTTCTTGGCTGAGCTACCCTCATTCTTGACCATTCTTTCCCACAAGGACTGTGGACTAGTGAATTCATCTGTCAGGCCCAAGGCTGAGCTTTTACTTATGTTTCTTAAAGAATCCTTATGCTTCATACTGACCGATGAATATCAAGTTGTCTAGAAGGGCAGAAACTATTGGCATAGTATATGTAATTGACTGGCTAACAAGAAAGCATTATACCAGATCACCCAAACTAGCTCTGCATCCTAGTTCCCAGAGTCTGGGAAAAACACCCATTTCTTAAACTTGGGCTTTGTGGAACGTCTGGCCTTATCACACACTAGGGTTGAGCCTGTTGTCCTAGTGTTGCTGAGAGCCTTGCTGCCTCTAGGAAGCATGTTTGCTCTTCACCACCAAGGTGGAACTGAATTGAGCTAACCTGCTCTCTGAAGCTCTGGGCTGAGTGTGCTTTGGCTGAGCAAGTCCTCTCGGAAGGAATTTCAGGAAAAATCGGAAGCACTGTTCCACCTCATGAAACAATTTCTGGAACCCAGGCAAGCATTGAAAGTAGGCTGAAAGTGTGTGTATGGGTTTCTGATTTTTTTAACATTGTTGATCATTGGTGGCCATGTTTTTAGTAAGATGATTGTGGAGAAAGTGCCAGCACCCCAGCAAGGCCATCTCTGGCCTTGGAGTCAGGTGCTCTGGAACCTGGAGAACTGTCAGCTTAGCCTCTGTTTAAGAGCCCTCATAGAGATTGAGTTGGGAGAGGGTGACCTTGTTCATGTGTAGAATAAATAACTAGGAACTGACTGAGGTGAGGCACTTATTGGACCTCTGGCTTATGGGTAAGAGTTTGATTTCTGTGTGGAAAACTGTCTTTGACTCAATTCCAAGTCATGGTGGCCATCCATCAGGTTTCTAAAACTGTGTATCAGTAACAGGAGCCTCATCTTTTTCCTGGAGAGTGACTGGTGGACTTGAACTGCCAACCTCTCAGTTAGCAGCTCAAAACTTGATTCTTTGTGTCTCTATTGTACTGACCCTTTCCCCACATTGTAAGGGGGAAGGAGGCGGGGTGCATATTTAGAATTTTTCTGACTGGAAATGCTGAGGAATAATTCCATGAAACTGTTTCTGATGTTAATAGAAATTGGACAGCACACGTTTCCAGCACATCTAGGTTCTGGTCCCTTTGAGCAAGTGTAAATGCCAGCTGGTGACGGGAAGTGGCAGGAGATACAGGGCAGAGTTGCAGTCATCAGCTCTGCCTAGGAGTATGGAGACGTTCTTCCATAGAAGAATGTCAAGAGGGGATATAGGATGTTCTTAAGCATAAGATAGAGACAGTCTGCCAGGCACCATCACAAGGGAAGTGTGGTGGGTTCAGAGAGAGCCTTGGGTAGCTTGGAGCATGTGGAGGTTAAGGCTGCTGTGGTGAGAAGGGAGCAGAGCCTGCGAGCCTTTATAGAGCCCAGAAAAGTGAGAGGTTATTTCTATCTGAAATGATCTGGAAAATACATTCTAGGGACTGTTGTTGTTGTTGTTGTTATGTGCCGTCAAGTCATTTGCGACTCATAGCGACCCTATGTACAACAGCCCTAAACCCTGCTCTATCCTGTGCTAGTCTCATTGCCTCCGACACTCCCATCCCGATTACCCCAGTCACTGAATCAATCCACCTCATAGAGGGTCTTCCCCTCCTGCGCAGTCCCTCCACTCTGCCCAGCATGATGTCCCTCTCTAAAGACCTGTCTCTCCTTACAACATGTCCAAAGTATGTCAGGCGAAGCCCCAGAATCCTTGCCTCCAAGGAGCAGCTTGGTTTAACCCTCTCTAGAATGAATTTTAAAACTTAACAAAAGATTTACACTGGCAAAGGTGAGGAAGGTGGGCATTCAGGTTGTTTCTGGAGCTTTCACGTACAGTTCAAGTCCATACTGACTGATTTACTTGGAGGAAACAGAGAAGGTGCTCTTGAGCACTTTCTGATGGATGAGCCTTAACCACCTCTCCAATGAAAATGTTTGTTTCTTGTTCCCATCTTCAGTATAATGCTTTTCTGTCATTCTCCTCATCAAACTGCAGTTTACTCATTTATTCACTAAAGAAATTATTGCCAGAAACATAGGAAGCAAAACAAACCTGTGGGAAGAGAGACGTTTGTCATGATGTGATTAATATTTCCATGTAAGCTCTGACTAAAGATGCATAGCATTATGAGAGGGAGTGCTGGTGGCGCAGACCACAGGGAGTTGTGTTAGTAACACAAAAGGTGCACCTCTGGTGCTTCAAATCCAGCAGTGGCTGCATGGATGAAGGATGAGCAGTGTTCTCTCATGCAGTTTACAGTCTCTGAAAACCTGCTGGAGGACCAGCTGTGAGTTCTGACTCAAAGGCAATGAGTTGAGTTTTGTGAGAGTGTGTAGCCTGTACTGTGACCTTATCAGGGTCAGAAAAGCCTTAGACACTGATTGGAAGTCTGAGGATAATTACGCCCAGGGGATGTAGGGAGAACTACAGGTGTAAAAGCCTGAAGGGAATTTGAGGTGATGGATCTGAGAGACAGAAAGAAAATAACAGAAACCAAACCCATTGCTGTTGAGTGAATTCCAACTTGTAGTGACCATATAGGACAAAGTTGGACGACCATAATCTTCATGGCAGTAGACTACGCATCTGTCTTTGCCAGAGTGGCAGGGAAGTCAATCTTTTGGTGGAGCTTGGCTCTTAACCACTATACCACTTGAGTTCCTTGGGGGGTTGGGGGGGCGGGGTGCAGATTACTCATTTATGGGTCCTAATGACTCAAGACCTAAGAAAGGCCAGAGCTGAGAAACACTCTGATGGCTCACATGTCGAAGAAGGCAGAGCCTTACAGACACTAGTGAAGATTTTGATCCTTTTCTTGAAAGCAGTGAAAAGTCACTGAAGTATGTTTAAATGAGGAACAATGGAGTGTATGATATATATAGGCTTGTGTTTTTAAAAGTTAGCTGTGGCTACAATGTGGAGAGTAGATTGGAGGAGCAAAAAAGGAGCAGAAGAACCGTATTAGATGACTGCATTGATCTGGGGAATAAGATAAAACCCTGGATTAGGATGGTGACTATAGTAGAGATAGCCAAGAACCGGTTGATTTGGAATGAATTTCAGAGATGTTAAAAGGTAAAACTTCTGAGGACATGGCATTGCAGTGTTCTCAAATTGTGATGTGAGGACTCCAGGAAACTCCTGAGACTTCTTCAGGGGTGTGTAGGGTCAAAACTATTTCATAATACTGAGTTGTGGTCAGCCTTTTTCATTCTCATTCTCTCATGAGTATACATTGTTTTCCAGAGGTTATGTGCTGGGGATGATGTCATTGCTCTCATGGCTAATGGAATATATATATAAGATTAAAAAAAATACTGATAGATATTATCCACATAAATCAAAGCTCTTTGGTGTTCTCATTGTTTAAAGTGTGAAGGGCTTCTAAGACTAAAAGATTGGTTAGAACCACTGTGGTCTTGGATTAAATTTTCACGTCTATGGATCTGTGTCAGTGGCACTAAGATAGGAATGCTAGAGGAGGATCACTGTTCAAGGGCCAGAAAGGCACACACTTAATGTTTTAGATGTGCTGAATTTGTAGTGACATTGAGACAGCCAAGAGGAGATACCAGATGGGCATCTCTGTCTCAGAGGGGAGAGATCAAGGCTAACGGAGTGGAAAGTAGAGTAGAAAGAACTTTTCTAATTGAAGCCTTGAGCCAAAATAGACTCTGAAATGTAGGCTCAGGAATCCATATACTTGGTGGCCAGTTTGAGAAGAATGGACCTCACATAGCACAGAGAAGCAAGAGGAAATTGAGGAAGGGTGTAAGGTGGAAAACTTAAATGAGGCCAGTTAAGGGGGAAAGGATGGACCAGGGATGGGAGATGCAAGCTTGTCATTCTCACCCACACGTCTGAATGCTTTCTACGTGCTGGTGCAATGTAAGACCATCTGGGAAAGAGGAAGAGATAGGTTCCAAAATAAAAGTTTGAGGGACGCACAGAAGGACAACAGAAAAGGAGTCCCCTCCCCCCCCCAAAAGCGGCTAGTTTGTAAGACTAGTCTTACCACCCACTTTCTCTTTTCCATCAGTGTTAACTCTCGTTGCCATTGAGTTGGAACCAATTTGAGCTGACCCTTTAGTAGGTTTTGGGGGCTGTAAATCATGTGGAAGGAGATTGCTCATCTTTCTCCCTCAGGGCTTCTAAATTCAGACTGCCAGAAAGGCACTGTCTTTTGGTTAGTAGCACCACTCTATACAGATTTTATCACCAGAGTTCCCTTAACTAGGTAATGTGTTAGCTTAAAGAGAAACCCCTTGAAGAGCTCGCCAGGCAAGACTGATGAGATGATTTCCCTGTGCAAAGATGCTCTTCTTTACATTTTTCCCTATGGAAATTCTCCTGGGAGACAGAGCCTGCATGTCATTTCTGGACTTGTCCTTGAGGTATCCGCATTCTTGTTTGGTCTGGTGTATTTTCTTAAGTGCCTTGTTCTTACTCTATCTTTCTCCCTTCCTTTCTGTTGAGCCCTGTGAAAAAGGCCAAATCCCTCAGGAGTAGGTAGCTGAGGAATGAAGAGAGTCAAGTTCAAAGGGTTTGGCAGTGAAGGGAAAACACAAAAGAGGTGGACTAGTGACTTAAGGAAGCAGCAGAAATAAGGTCAGAGTATGTTAAGACTAGA